GCATTCAAAAACTGTTAAAACAACCTATATAAGAGCTACCCTGATTGCTCAGTTGGTAAAAGCACTTATGCACTGAAAAATGGGTTGTGCAAGCGGGGAAGTACCATGCATCCATCCCTTAGCTGTACTAAGTTAGCAGTAAGAACAGCGTTGGGAGCACAGCAATTCGCTCTCAGTAGTTAAAGCGAAATTTGTTAAGAAGAGGAACTCACTCTCAGCCCTGTGAAGCATTTGACCCCACCTATATTTATTCTCTGCTAAAAACAAATACCAGCAGTTTGATTGAAGGATCAATTCATAATTACTTGATCATATTTGCATCTAAACGTCAAATCATTTTTTTTCAATAAATTTGATAAGTCAGTAATAGAAACAAGTCACAATGCAGTTTTTTCAAACAGAATTGCCCCCATCTAAAAAAGGGCAGGGTGTTTCAGAGTATACAAAATTTGCAGCATAAAAGAGAGAATGGCACTGCTTTCAGCACCAAGGGTCGTCGCACCTTATTATCACTAATTGAATGATAGAAATGAAAGTATAGGAAGAGGCCATTCACCAACTGAGGTTAAACTGATGCCAGCAATCATCACTGGATCTAAAATAATAATGGTTGCTTGTGATAAAGTGACTTATGTCATTGAGATGTCTCAAAGTGATTCACAGGATATACTGTAGACTGGTATGATTGTGCACACAGCAATGTTCCACAAACAGCCATGGAGTAAATGACCAATTTTATTGGGGGGATTATTGGCCAGGGTTCTAATCCTCACTCTTTATCCCATACCCTTTTATATTCTTCATCACATGTTTATCCAATTCCCCACACAAACAAAAACATTGGCACTGAATAAACCAAAACCAGAAATGGACTCTATAAATGTAGAACATTCACATTGCGTGCAGGGAATGGGACCCTTTCACAACTCACATGAGTGTGTGTGCCTTTGTGAAGAAGCAGTCAAGCATTCAGATGAGTTCTTCCGAACCAGCTTAATAATGAGAGTCAGGTCCTGCTACTTGAGACTGCAGGAACTGAAGGACAACAAGGGCTTTTTGTTTGGCTCTCAGGTAGAGGTTAGTGAAAGAAAATGGGCAGAAATAATAATTAGACCAATGTTTTTGGTACTTTTTCATGTTTGAGTAAGGCGGCAATTGGCAGCAAGAGCCAGACTGGAGGGGCAGTGTGGGAAACCGGATCACAAAAATAAAAACTGACTTATCCGCATGGCTACACTAACAGGGAACCAGACAGTGGCGAGCATATGTCTGACTCCAAAATTCCACAATGGTGCAATTTGAAAACCTCAGCACAAGATGTAAGGGACACCTAGGAGGTTAAGACAGTTGAGTCAGAATCAGAGGATCAGTTTTGGTACAAAATTCTAGAAATATACATGCTCAACAAGAAAGGACCAGGACAACATTTTGAATTTGCAACAACCCATCAAATCACAGAAGAGAGAATGAGCTGTCTTTATTTTTTTACTATGAACTTCTTGTCATAAAATTTATGCCAATATTAGAAGTGTACGCAAGGATTACAATATAATACAATTTATATTATGCCTTTCACATAGGAAGGACCTTTTAAAGTGCTTCATACTGCTGACAAGACAATGAGCTGGGGGGCAAGAGGGGAAATATGACCGAATGCACAGCCAAAGAGATGTCTTCATGATGGTCAGCATGGTCAAAATAGCTGAGCTCATTCACGGATGGTGAGGCTAATAAGCGCAGAGGACTCAAAGGCCAATGTTCACCGAGTAGAGGGAACAGTCAGGTCTGTAGGATTGCAGCCAGTCACAAAAGTAGGGTGGATCGAGACTATGCAGGGATTTGAATGCAAAGATGAGGACCCTGAATTAGACTCGCTGTGGGATGGGGAGCCAATGGAACCGACCAATTGTAGCCTCACAGAGTCTGATGCGGGAAAGGACTCAATGTGTTAGGGAGCCACAAGAGTTCTGACCAAGACTAAACCTCCTTGACATAATTCCGATCAGTGACCCCAACATTATTTAGGGATTACGAGTAGTTGATCAACTGGGCATGTCACCAAAGCATAACAATGCTAGTTCAGGTTTGGGAAACAGCACAAGTATGCAACCAAACCCTATTGTTCAACTTCAGGCAAACAAACATCTGAAGGTTGAGCTGGATGGCATGAGGGTTAGAAGTGTACCTCAGAGAGACAGCAGCAGAAATGACAAACACAAAGTGCGGGAGCTAGACTTAAACACTATGCAGATCACATCTGAGCCAAAATTTCACGTGGTTCCCCCAAGAGAGAGACTTTGGACGCATTACTGAAGGATAAAGCAGTTTAGGATAAATGGATATCCTTGAAAACATTCTGAGAAGTGTGCAGGACATGTACACAGCCAAGTGCAGCAAGAGCAAATGAAGCAAAAATGCTCCAAAATCCTGCTCCAAACAGTTTTGTATTATTACCAAATGGCTAAACAAACTGTACAGGGAATACCTCAAATCAGGAAAGTGATTTACATACTGTTACACTTGAACCTCGCTTTGCAACATTCCAGTTTACCGCAATCCGAGCCCTAAAGTGCATGAGATCAATTTTAAAACTTCCAACTTTAACATGATTCTTGCAAAGACAGCATTATGTAGTGACCATTATATAAGCGTAATATTACCAAGTCTGAAATGGCACAGCCTAATTTGCAATATTGGTAAACTGATACCATTTACACTTAACCAATGTTTTGTGTATCATAGCCACACATATATATATATTTTGAATGCACTAGCAAATAAGCATTGAAAAAGTAACACCCCATTAATTACATTTATTTCATAAAAGACCTTAAATAAATATGTGTTTAGAAGAGAGAATGATGCAGAGTAAATGGTTTCTGGTGCAATCGATGATTACTTTTAGCATAATGTACTCTGCAAAAGCAGAGTTGTGTACACATCTACACTGCCGAGATTTCTGAATGAGCTCACCTAACCGGTCAAACATCAACAAATCCTAGGAATTGGTTATCCCAGGGAACTCATCTCTTTCTTTCCTCTGCCCCCGGTAAGGTCTTTTATTTTAGATATGGTGCACAGTTTATCAGGGATGTTCCCAAGATTTAAAATCCAGGAGTCTGGTGCATAGCAGACTAAGGTACCTTGCTTGGCACCGTGTTTTTAAAAATGGTGTAAATCTCTCTTTGGAAAAGACAATGGAATGCAGCCCCTAGCACAGAATGGTATTAACATTTATGGAGGAGCCTTCAAGCAAACAACAACAACCTTACATTTGTAAAGCGCCTTACACGTCTGGAGAACATCCCAAGGTGCTGAACAGTCAGGGATCAGGAACCCGGCGTGGGGAGTTCAGGATTGGGACGAGGAAGGCCGGAGAGGTAGGTGGGCAGCTGAAGGCACAATCTAAAAGGAGGGTCTTGAGTCGTGCCTTGAAGGGAGCAAGGGAGGGAGCAAGGCAAAGGGATTGTGGGATGGAGTTCCAAAGGGTGGGAGCAGAAATAATAATAATAATAATAATAATCCTTGTATTTGATATAGCGCTTTTCACGTCGGGAGGACATCCCAAAGCGCTTCACAGAACACACTGTAAAGTGAATTGACTGTATATTTGTGGGCGAAAGGATGAAAGCGAGGCCGACGATGGTAGGGCAGGTCGGGCAGGAGACATGGAGCAGGCCGGAGCCTGCTGAACGACAGGTTGATAGGAGGTCAGCAGGTCAGAGAGGTAGGAGGGGGCAAGGCCGTGGAGAGTCTTGAAAGTGAGGACGAGATTTTGAATTCTATCCTCTGAGGGATGGGGAGCCAGTGGGTGGGGGTGTTGGTCTTACAGAGCCTGGTGCAGGAGAGGTCATGAGTTGCAGAGTTCTGGATGATCTGAGGAAAGAAGGGCCAGGCGAGGGAGGGTGGACCAAGGAGACGGTTGGTGAAGAATAGGAGCCTGGGGTTGTCCTTCTCCTCCAAGATTATCTTGGAGTAGAAAGACGATTTGGCGGCGGCAAAAGTGCTGTGGTACATTTTGATGTGATCCAGCCATATATCTGCCGGTGGACCGTTAGATCAGATTTGAGCCAGGTGCATTCAGCAGCCACCAACTGACCCCTTGAGGGTCGGGTGCCGATAAAGATTATCTTTTAAAAAATTGTTCTGAAAATAAAAGCTAAATTTGTACAGAACCCTGGTATCGGAAACATTTGAAACAGCTGAAAACTGAGATCTTGGCATTTTTGTCACAAATAAAAACAACTTGCATTTATATAGCACCCGTCAGTCAGGGTAGTGTCTTGAGGCTCTTATCGTGGCAGAGCTTGACACCGAGCCAGGGAGAAAGGGGATGTGACCGTAAGCACGGTCAAAGAGGAAGGTTTCCAGGTGAGAACTTTGTGTTTGTTATAACGTTTTATCAAGTTGTCCAAATGTCTCAAAGCGCTTCACAGGATTTCCTAACTGTATTTGTCAGAAAACACAACAGTCAATTTGCACACAATATCTCACAAATAGCCAAGAAGTGAATAGCCAATTTTTTCTGGAAGATTGTTGGGCAATCCAGTGCTCCAGAAGAAACTCCCTTCTCTCATCAAATAGTGGGAATGGATCTCTAATGTCCAATTAAACAGGACAGGACCTGGCTTTAATATCTCATCCAAAGGATCACACCTCAAAAAATATATCTCTCCCACCCTCCACCCACTGTATTAGAGTGTCAGCCTAGATAGCTGATAACGTCAAAGTGCTGACATGAGAACTTGAACTCTTATCCTTCTAACTCGCCTGAAGTGACGGTGCTTGCAACTAAGTCAGGCTGATACCAAGAAAATGTCAATGGAGAAAATCTGGACAAAAAATCATGGTTAATGTCCCAATAAAAAATTATTATGCACTTCTAACAATTCGAGCAAATAGAGGGGAACAATATTTACAACCACGTTACTAAATTTAATTGGGTTTTAAATTCAAACTATTAAAGGAACAGTGAGAAAAATTAATTAATAGGAACTCACCTCCACCTCCTCCAAGCAGACTCTTGTTCGCTGAAGGAAAGAGAAAAGAAAAGTTAACATCTGAACACTTCATAAATTTCAGTTGCGTGCATTCGATGGGCAACAGCAATGGGCAAAAAGCGTTTACCCTTTGACATGCATAAGGATTTATCACTGATCTCTATGTTAATTTCAACCTGGTTTAATAATTTTGAAATCACACCAGCCGTGGAATCCTTCAGTTTCATAAATATACAAGTATAACACCACACCATAGGAATTCATCCGGCACAAATATTGCTTATGTTTGAATGCTCCCATTGTTCTACTATTAAGAAACAGTGAACAAGAGGCCAGTTCCTGTTATAATAGTGTTTTGTACATTTAACGTAACTGTTTGTGTGAAGACAAAACATATGAGGTTCCTGATAATAAATAAAGCTCAATACTCTGTTTAAAGCATGATTTCATAACAAAACACTAGCACTAACCGAAAACCGCAACTAATGTTTAAGTCTGGGTTCATTCCAATGCAGCTGTCTTCATTGTTCCAGTGGCTGCCTCGGTTTCCTTTCAAAATAAACATCTACCTGTTTTACCTACTGCTCTGCCCTATGTTTCCCCACCAAAACCTCATTCTGCTTGACTCATTTAAAAAGTCTTGATTGTCCTGTCCAACTGGATGAATGCATGGCAGCAGGTCTGAGGCAAACGCATAAAGATCAGCATAAGGTCAGTAAGAAACAAGTTGTAATGGAATATTATTAGGCATCATTATAATGAGTGTCTCAGTCTTAATTAATGATACTGAAAGCAATTACAATGTTCAGGCTAACTGTTGCATTTTAGCACTTTCAAACCAATAAAAATCGAGATCCCACAACAGAGCTCTTTTTAGCCAATTGTACAATTATTCTGCATCAGAGCCATAAATTATGCTGTGCCGTTTTTCAGAACCAGGCAAGGTGGACCCTCCGGAACAGAAGAGACTTAAACGTGGACGATGGCATTACCAAAATACTTATTGAGGGTTTGTGCCATGATTGATATAAGACTTTCCATTTCACAAAGCAGAAGCATGTTAATTTATTCTGCCTCATCATTTTCACATCGATGACTTTGGAGCCTCCTTCAAATAAATCCTTGAACTTGAATAGTTAGGAATCTTAAGTTCACACCCATAGCCATTCATACGAGTCACTGATTATAGCCTTCCTGTTCAGGAGGTGGGTTTGGGGGGGTTGAGGGAGTGAAGTGGGAGGAGTAAAAAAAAGCCAACCACACAGAAAGGCGAAAGGCCAGAGTTTTACCATTGTAAGAACACGGAATTTAAAGACAGGCATTTTAGCCTGCTCTTGCTTGCTTTAAGTGTGTTGATGGTTAACTGGATGCTTATGGTTATATACTGTAGTTCATTGATGGAGACCGAGAAATGAGGCTTGTCCTTTCGAATAAGGGATAGAAAGAGAATTATCTAAGCTGTTAACATTCTAAACAACCAATTTGCAGCTGACATACTCAGAAGAAATGTTTAAAATCCTCAAACTAAAAGTTTCACATTATTTGATAAATGTAGGACATTCTCCTTGTCCAGAATGCATTTTCACTGATGTTGCAGGTTGAATATCAGCCATGCTTGCTGGAGTCCGGTCAGACCTGGCTTATGGAGATTGATGGAGCTGAATATCTGGGGATCCACATATTCGTTTCTCGTGACTAGCCTCCATTGCAAATATACTGTAAAATCTTGCATTCTAAATCAAAATTGAAACTTACACCATTCAGCAAATCCCCAATCATCTGCTTGTTAGATATTCACTGCAACTTAATACTTAGGCTTTTCAGCTTCCTTGAACCTTGCTTCCATTCCAGTTTATTCCCATCCTTAGGAGATTTAAAGTAACCTATTTTGTGGTCCTAATTTATTTCCATCTGAACACAGCATTTAAAATGGCATCTTGACCAGGTTTTCAGACATCAGTTCTGCAGGAGAGATCAGTATGCGAAGTACACTCGCTCCAAGATCTCAATTAAGCAGTTGCATCTGCTATTCATCTGCATTTGATTCACTGCCCGTAACGTTAAAATCAAAGTGCTTCACAGATTGCCGTCAACAAAGAGATGGTAATGTATACACAATTTAGTTTGCCCTACGGCTGGGACAACTTACATAGACATCCAGAGACCAAAAGAGGTTCAGACTCAAACACAGTCGCTCAACCAATGTCCAGTTCAGCTAGAAGGAGACGTCTGTTGAAGATCTATTCTTTCCCTGACATGTACAATGCAGATAATGTAGACATTTTCAATAACAATTAATTCTCAATGCTGCAATGGCAACAGCTTCATTCGTAAGGACAAAGAGGTCCATTGACAACTTGATGTTGCCCTCTGCTGTGATGCGGATGATTGTAATGGATGGAAGTCCTTTTTACTGGCGAGGTACAAAAGCATGAGGCTTCACTGGGAACTCTGCTCTAGAAATGAATGTTAACTATAGTACAATTGGGGAGGCCTGCATGAATGCAGCAGAGCCTATGGTATCATTTAAAAGTCATACAGGTTTTCTCTCATTTCTCACAGATTTTTCCATTTCTGATAGGACAAAAATCCAGTGACATCCCGGTTTCTACCAACTCCTTCACATGCAGCCTCTGTGAAGTTAGCAAAAGTTGGAGAAGATACCACTCATTGCCATATCATGTGAACCATAGAATTAAATGTGATTCAAGTGGGCATAGGTAAATAAGTCAAGCCCTCATCCCTGAATCTGATCTCTGTTGATTTTAAAATCACACTGAAAATATCTTTTATGGAAAAATGCCAACTACAGTGTCATTGAAAGGTAACTAAAAAAAGAATGGCAGCTAAATAAAAGCACAAGCAAGGTAAAATTAGAGCATTTTTTCACGAGATGAGGATTTCATAGACTAAAACAAATTTAAGACCAACTAAATCGCTTCATCTATTATTATAACGCATATTAAGTTATTCATATTAACCCTCATTGACAAGATTCATCGTTAATATCAGATAGTTTTGTCACAGGCGCAGAAACACAACCGAAAAAGGTGTTGAGTCTATGAAAGATATTATACTTGCCAAAGTATATAATTTGACAGAAGTATATAATTCTGATGAGGAGCTAGTATTTCCCAGTTTGAAAAAGAGTCACGATTTGCGAACCTGCAAATATGAAAATTATTATTTGGGATTGCAAGCTGTTATAATAATAGGGCAGTTCCACAGTTGCTGGCTTGATCGGTTGCCTGTTCGATGAGACCGGCTTTACTTTGTGTAGCAATTGGTATTTCGAATTTGAAGTTTCCAACTCTGTATTAATTTTATTGTCGTGTCACAGCTGTCCACTCCCAGATAGACAGGGAATTGTTCCAATAAATATAGCCGATTAATAAAACCCAGGAAAAACAGACAACTACTTATATTGTGGTAGTTTGGGTTCATAAACTCAAGCCAAAATCAGGCATAATACTATACAAGTGGCTGCTGGTCAGCAAGTCATCATTGCTATCATTTCTTTGCATTGGCACGTATTTCCAGTTACGCCGCCAGACACTGGGAGGCCTTCTGCCCCTTGAGATTTGTGCAAGGAGCAAGCCAGTCAGTGCTGGAAGTTAGAAGTGTACCCACAGTACACACGCACTGAAAGCAGACACGTGCTATATAGAAGTGCGTTATAACAGGGGAATGACGTACTTCTGGTTACTGGAAAGAGTCATTTCCTCAACTCAAGAATCCTTTTTAATCCTGGTAAGCAATACCACAATGTGTTGAAAGAGGCCTTTTTGTGTGATTTCTATTGCCTTTTGATATTGGAATAGCAGCAGATAGAGGCAAGGGGGGGATTCAGCCATTTATATGTCAGGCAAGTGTGAGCTCAATACAAACTGTATTTGAGAGCCCTGATTGAAAGGAGAAAAAGAAAAAGAATCTCAGCCTCTGGTTTATGAATGTATTTTCAAATTAAACTCAAGTGGCTTTAAAATGGGTACATTCTCAACCAATTCATGATTCATTGCGCTCAACAGCATTATTGGTTTTGTATTTTACTGTGTTGCTTGCTGTAAATAAAGTCAGCAAATAAAATGATCATCTTTCTTTAGCCTGTGAATGTGTGTGTATGTGGTAATATCCCCAATTGAACAAGAAATTCCACAGAACGCCCAAGACTAAGTAAACATTCAGCACACAGAATAAATCTGTGTGGAATAGTGGCTAATCCATCATGTACACAATTTTCCAAGGGCAGAAAATTAACCTCGGCAAGGGGATTCCTTGTTACCTGCAATAATACAGTACAACTGGTGTGAACTAAAATCTTCGAAAAAGGTGATGCTTTCCTGCAGAGGGAATACAAACCAGCAAAAGCAATCGTCAAATAAACTGTTATTAAAAAAGAAAAAGCCATGCAATAGAAATTCTTGACAATAGGATCTAACGTGCAGTTTAAATTTAGAAATTCCAAACAGTATTAATTATTTGGATGTTCAGGAAACTGATTCCATTCCTCCCCCTCCCTAAATCTCATTCTCAATGTTACTATGACCAGTAGGTACCATAATTTAATGTCACTGTCCTAAAAATCAGCAATATGTGATAATAATAATCCTAGCATTTGATATAGCGCTTTTCACATCTTCTCGATGTCTCAAAGAGCTTCACAGAATATACTGTAAAGTGAATAAGACCGTATATTTGTGGGCGATACCTATGTGTGGCTTAGTTATTTGGTTCAATTTAAAACAATTATGGCATACTAAAGTGGTAAATAACAGGACAAAGGCTGACTAAATACAAAAGGATCTGCACAGAAACATATGTTAGAGTGACAAGTAGCAAATGTCATTTAATGTAGGTAAACAATAACGATAATAATAAGAACATTAGGACATCTTAAATGCTTCAAAGGATATAATCTAGAGAGTAATAACAGTGTTCTTGTCGACAAATGCAACAGCCAATATATTTTGAGTTGAGGAACAGATTGGCCATGATCTGATAGAACGGCAGAATAGGCTCGAGGGGCTAAA